AATCAGAACTGACTCAACGGCACTTAACAACAACAACGACAACCTAGTGTGTCAAGGAGCTCCGGTAGCATAGTAGTTACAAATCAAGCTGCTAACCTCAGGGTCAGCAGTTCAAAACTACTAGCTGTTCAGTGGGAGAAAGATGAGGCTTTCTGCTGCTATAAAGATTTACAGCCTCAGAAACCCTGTAAGGGTAGCTGAGTCGGAAATGACTTCCTGGCACATAACCACCACCACCACCACCCAGTGTGTACTGTGGGTTAATGAGATGTTCTGCAAAATCGGTTTGAACCGCAAGGATCAACTATGGGTCAGAACCTACTGACGGCACTTAACAACAACAACCCAGTCATTAGTTATAAAGACTATAGCTAAAAGGTCATACTAAATAATTCATTAGAGGGATTTTGACTTAAGTGGCTTGCTGTGGTTTTACTTTTGAGGAATCCATTCCAAGAGGCTAAATAACAAATAACACAAACTGGCAAGTCTGTCATCCTCATCCTTTCCCCAGCTCTGCCACAAATCTTCTCTGTCACCCAATGAACACTTTACTTTTCTGAGTCTTAATTTCCTTAATTTAAAATTAAAGGTTGAGTGAGATCAGGGGTTTGGGGTACATCTTTAAGACTGTGGAGAAGTTAATTTTCAGATTTGGCTGGATTGATAGGAGCTGATCATTTATATTATGGAATAATGTAAGCAGACTGTGATCATCCTCTTGTTGTTGTTAGTTTCCATCAAGTCAACTCTGACTCATGATGATCTCGTGTGTGCAGAATAGAATTGTTCCATAGAGTTTTAAACTTTTCATTGTGAATTGGAGGAGGGTTTACAAACTAGATCAGTTTTCCATTCAATAATTCATGCACATTTTGTTTCATGTCGTTGATTTTAATCCCCAGAATGTAATATCATTTATCCCACGTTCTCACTGTGTTTCCTGTTTCCTTTCCTTCTTCTTTCCTAACCCTTCTGAACTTTGTCTTTGTGTAAATACAACCCATTTTATCTCAAATGGTTGATTAGTATAAGGTGTGTGTACCTCCCTAGTGCTACTCTTTGCCTTATTAGTTATTATTATCCCCTCTTTATTATTTGTCTGAAAATTGAGCCATTGGGATCAATTCATTTCCAGAACTGAGGGATGATTCCGGGCCACAGTCTTGAGGTTAAGGCTGTGACCCTTTGGAAACAGATTGGCAGGTCATTCTTCTGAGGCATCTCTTGGTGGATTCATTTAATCCTCCTGAGTCTCTGGAAAAGAAAGAGAAGGCTGGCATCGCTATGTTCTCTCTGAGCCTCAGTAATGTGCTGTGGTAATTTAAGCGAATTACTTAAAATGGCCCTTCTAGCTATAGTCTTTGTAACCTAGCAAATGACTGCATTGTTGTTGTTGTTAGGTGCTATTGAGTTGGTTCTGACTCCTAGTGACCCTGTGTACAACAGAATGAACCACTTTCCAGTCCTGCACTATCCTCACAGTTCTTATGTTTGAGCCCATTGTTTTGCCACTATGTCAGTCCATCTCATTGGGAGTTTTCCTCTGTTTACTGACCTCGACTTTACTAAGCATGATATTCTTTGCCAGGGATGTCCGAAATATGTGAGATGAAATCTTGCCATCCTTACTTCTAAGGAACATTCTTCTTTGCCTCTTCAACACAGATTTGTTTGTTCTTCTGGAAGTCAATGGTGCTTTCAATATTCTGTGCCAACACCTTAACTGAAATGCATCATTTCTTCTCTGGTCTTCCTTATTAATTGTCCAACTTTCACATATAGATGATTGAAAATGTCATGGCCTGTTCTTTAACACTTTAAAGAGGTCTTTTGAGACAAAGTTGCCTAATGCACTATATCATTTGATTTCTTGGCTGTTGCTTTTCTGAGTGTTGATTGTGAATCCAAGAAAAATGAAATCTTTGACAATCTTTTTTCCATTTATCATGATATCGTCTATTGCTCTAGTTACAAGGATTTTTGCTTTCTTTACATTGTGTTGTAATCTGTATAGAAGGCGGTAGTCTTTGATCTCCATCAGTAAGTGCTGCAAGTCCTCTTCACTTTCAGCAAGAAAAGTTGTGTCATCTACATATTAATAAGCCTTCCGCCAACTCTGATGTTGTATTCTTCTTCATTTTGTCCAGCAGATTATTTGCTCACCATACAGAATTAAAGTATGGTGAAAGCATATAACCCTGACACATACCTTCCTGGATCTTAAATCATTCAGCATTCTCTTGTTCTGTTTGAACAACTAACTACTTTTTAGTCAGTGTACAGGTTCTGCATCATCACAGTCAAGTGTTCTGAAACTTATATTCTTTTTAATGTTATCCATAGTTTGTTATGATCCACACCATTAAATGCCTTTGCATAGACAATAGAGCAAAATATCATGCTTTATACAAATTTAGGGGTCTTATTGGCATCCTGTTTGCCTCCTAGTTTTTGATCAGATTACATTATACTCTTGGTTTCCAATAGGGTTTTTGTTGTTGTTTTTGGTATCTGCCACTGAGTCTGCTCCATGCACAACAGGATCAGATCATAGGGCTTTCACTGGCTGGTTTTCAGAAGTAGATCATCAGACCTTTCTTCTTAGTCTGTCTTAGTTAGGAAACCTGTTCAGTATCATAGCAACACACAAACTGACACTGCCAGACAGGTGATGGCTGCTCTTGAGATGCATTGGGCAGGAATCAAAAGTGGAAAGGGTAATAATTCTACCAATGAACCACTGCTGCTCTCCCGGCAGGGTTGTTGTTGTTAGGTGTCATTGAGTTGGTTGCGACTCATAGTGACCTTATGCACAAGAGAACAAAACACTGCCCAGTCCTGTACCATCCTTACAATTCTGGTTAAGTTAGAGCTGATTGCTGCTACCACTGTGTCAATCCATGTCATTTGGGGTCTTCCTCTTTTTCGCTTACCCTCAAAAAGTTTATCAAGCATGATGTCTCTCTACAGGGGCTGGTACCTCCCAATAACATGTTCAAAGTATTAAGTTCAAACTTAAATAACATGTTAAGTCTCATCATCTTAGTCTTTAAGGAGTGTTCTGGCTGTACTTCTTCCAAGACAAATCTGTTTGTTCTTCTGACAGTTCATGGTACTTCAGTATTCATTGGCAATATAATTATTATCCAAATGCATTAATTCTTCTATGACCTTCGTTATTCATTGTTCAACTTTCACACGCATATGAGGCTACTGAAAATATCATGGCTTGAGTCAGGTGCACCTTAGTCCTTAAATGGATATCTTTGCTCTTGAACATTTTAAAGAGGTCTTGTGCAACACATTTGCCTAATGTAAAACAACGTTGATTGTGAATACAAGCAAAAAGGAAGTCTTTGACAACTCAATCATTTCTCCTTTTATCATGATGTTATTTATTGTTCTAGTTGAGAGGATCTTTGTTGTCTTTATAGTGAGGTGCTATCCATAATGAAGGCTGTAGGGTTTGAACATTTTTAATTTTTGAAGGAGAATCCATAATGAAAGAGTTTTAAAACAGTCCATTTAGTAACAGTCACTAGACTGACTGATGTATAAAAAGCCTAGGAAGGAAAAGAGAGAGTCTTTTCAAATCCAGAAAACTGAAGACCCACTTGAATCCCAGTGGGATACTTTGCTTCGATTCATAAAGACTTTATATCTTTGGTTAACTCTGTAAACATCTGAGTCCTATTCAGATAAGTATTTTGTTTCTTTGTAACTCACCTATTCTTTCCTTTCATTTTCTTCTCAGTAGATTCATCACAAATACAACAATAGACTTAGTCCACAATTATCCTCCTAATTTACCCTGATAAATGAACGTTAACACCTAGTATTACACTATTTAGAACCCTAGTGCCTCCGGTTGGCTCCTACTGTTCATTTCCTGGTTAATTTAATCCAAGTCCAAGAGTCGCTCTAAGTCTCTAAGAACTCTACCTTCATCATCCAACTTTGTTTCTACTCCTGCACCAAACACTAGTGTTTGATGACCTCTGTGCCTGCTTCCTTACCCATTAAATGGGAATTATGAGAATACCTACCATGTAGAATTTTTGTGAGGATTAAATATATTAATACATATTAAGAAAAAATGCCTAGCCTATTATTTGTTTTTGTTGTTGAGTGACATCAAGTTGGATCCAACTCAAAGTAACCCTGTGTAGGGCCTCTGAGGAGAAACTGGTGTATTTGTACTGCTAACCTTGAGGTTCAAACCGACTTTGCAGTCCAGTGCTTATCCTTCAGTGCCACACCAGGCTCATTATAAGTACTCAATAACTATCTATTAGTATCTTTTGAACTAAACATCTTGCTTACTGTGACAATGGTGTCATTCATTGTTTTCCAAGTGTCACTCCTTCTTCAGAAGGATTTGGTAAAAGAATGTAAGTTGACTCTTTGACTTTGAGCCTGGGTGTTTGCTATTCTAGGGCTAATACTAAACAGGAATGAGTAAAAGGAAAATATTTCAGCTTTTCATTCAATACAGCTATTTGCATAGAAGGACACAAATAGCACTGGTATTTATTTATTTATTTAAGTAAAGTAGATTATTCTTCCTCCCAGTGTCTCTTGAGAATAGTGTGGGGTACAGGGACAGCACGTGAGCCATCATGTTCTTTTTACCAAAGTGGATACAGAACAAGAGAGATCTAAAAATACAGAAACTAGGCAGAGAATTTGACTTATGGGAGATAAATATAAGTGTAATTTTACAACTGTGGTAGTTAAGATGAAAATCCAGCATCTGAACAGCAAAATTTATATGGAAATTGTTCATATGAAAGTTAAGTGTGTAGTAGAAGAAATTAAGACAATAAAACAGATTTAGAAAGCTTCAGTCATTGAAAACTGATCTCTAAAATTATGAGAATGAATGTTTCTCTAGAAGAAAATGTAGAAAGAGACCATGAGATAATTTCCTCACTTCTGTTGATAATGTTTTTAAACTCACAGTACTTTGAGGTTGTCCTTTGACATTTTTTTTTCAGAATCAAAGCCATGGGAACTGTATGTTTGGCTGTTCTTAGGGATCATCATCGGTGTCATACTTCTCAAAATGATAATACAACTGTTGAGAAGAAGAGGTAGGTGCCTGAAAATATAGATTCTTATCAGATTCTCTGTGGTATGCACGGACCTTTCCGCACAAACATAGGCTTGCTCTCACAATTTTTTTCTGCATAAAGCATCTTTGCAAAAAACTAAGCAAACATATCCAGGGACCTTGGATTATCTCAATTCAGTGTAATTCAATATGTCTTAATCCTGTAAACTAAACTATAGGGGTTAAAAGAGATAAACCACAGCGGTCTTATGTGGGAAACAGACACATATGCCAATAATTTCAATTCAATTATGTCTAGTACTTCAGTAAAAGGAGTCCTGATGGCACAATTAAGAGATTGGCTGCTAATCTAAAGGTTGGTAGCTTGAACCCACCTAGCAGCTCTGCAAGAGAAAGACCTATGTGCTCCCATAAAGCCTAGAAAGCCCTATGGGGCCGTTCTACTCTGTCAGCTAGGGTCACTATGAGTCAGAACCAACTTGATGGCACCTAACAACAGCAAGCACTTCAGTAAAGGGAGCAGAATTCAGAGACTTCTTGAAACTCTTTCAAGTGAAGTTATAATTACTGAGTAATAACAGTACAATAAGATGATTTCAACCAGTGATTGAAATATTTCTATAATTTCTTCTTATCTTTAGTACATACCTAAGTACTAAGTAGTTGTTTTCATGCAACTTTCCAATGAGGTAACAGAAGAATAGAGAAACTAGGTGACTCATGCAAGGTCATCTAGCTGGTTGGCGGAGGGACCACAATTGTAACTAGTTTCCAACACCCAGTGCTTTTTCCACTGGGAAGGCCCACGGATCATCAGAAGATACAGAGAGAACCCTCTTTACTAAGATTTTAATAAAAATTCTGACTCACCTAGGGAAGTGTGTGACTTATGAGGTTACTTAAAGCCAAACTAAATAGTTTGAAAAAATCCATCATCCAGAATACACTGACACCATTTGTTGTTGTAGTTAAGTGCCATTGAGTTGGTTCTGATCCATAGTGACCCTGTATAGGGTTTCCCAGGAGAGGCTGGTGAACTTGAACCGCCGACTTTGCAGTTCAGACAACTTTGTAATCCACAATGCCACACCAGGACTCCACTGAGACCATGAGGGCCCAACTATCCCCTAATTTAAGTCTCTAGAGGTATTATCTCCTAACCTTTCTCCAAAATTGGCCTGTGATTCAATATCTCAGGTTCTATCACAGTCCCTGACTGGCCTTTCCGTGATAAGGACACAACTTGATGGCCACACCACCAGACTGATGATTGATTTCATTCTTAAACAGATCAATGTTCCTCACATGAAACCTTCTCAGAAAAGTCCTTACTTAAGCACTGTGATGTTGGTTTTCTTATATTATCTAGATCATAACACAGTGGCTTATTTTTGTCTCATTTCCTCCATCGAAGAGCTGGCTGGGGAGGAGATTAAGGAGGGTGATTTAGATAGAAATTTTGATGAGAATCTAAAGAGATGAAGCAGAGCAACCCCATTTTACTTGAGTTATAAGGAAACACTGTGATAGAAGAGATGATAAAACTGAGGTCCAGAGAGATTAACTCACTCACATTAACCTAGCTAGTGAAGATGCTTGGATCCTAACCCACACTCCTTCTTCAACTACATTCTGCTCATCATATCGTTGAGCTGTGAAGAGAGCAATGCTTCCCAACTCATTGCAATATCATATCACCTACCCCAACATGTGGATTCCTGGTATGGCACTGTAGGATAAGCACTGGACAGAAACTACAAGGTCTGTGGTTCAAACCCACCAGTTGCTCCTCAGAAACTCTATACAGGATAGCTATGGGTCAGAACTGACTTGACAGCACTTAACAACAATAACAATCCCAACACATATACCCATCCTTGTCTCCAGTTAGCATGTATTCAATGTTAGCCAGAACACACAAAACTCTGCCTCAAACCTGTGGCAAAATCTACTCTTAACTGCTATACTTTCCATAAGACTTTGCACAAGAGATGTCATGGCTATCTCCAGAATGCTGCCTATCTCTTGAAGCTTTCAAATAGACTCTCTGGTAATATTATGTTCAGATAGTACATTAGATAATTGGCATCAAAGTTTAGGTTTACTGACAACCTCTATGACCAAACAAATTACTTAGCTTTGCAGTTTCCTCATCTGTAAAATGAGTATAATACCATGTACTTCATGGGATTGTTATTGTGATGAGAGAGTCATACAAATAAATCACTGAGCGAAATAACTTCTATGTACGATCAATAGATAGATAGATGGTAGATTGACTGAAAGATAGATTGATCTACAGATGTTACATGATAAATACATTGAACTATAGGAGATGGATATAGATGATAGATCAGTCTATCATAGATATACACATCACATAGCTCTATATAGATTTATATAGATAATAGATATAAATGATAGATGGATAAGCAGCCAGAAAGAGAGACAAGATATCACTGTTTAAGTTCTATAGCCAGCAGAGGACAGCACCAGAAGCATCTGGGAATGGTATAAAACTAAAAACTAAAACTAGCTGATTCGACTTATAGCAATTCTACAGGGCAGAGTAGAACTGCCTCAAAGGTTTCTAAGGGTAATCTTTATGGAAACAGACTTCCATAGCTTTCTCCTGTGGAGTGGCTGATGGGTTTGAAGGCTAATCTTTTGGTTAGCACCCAAGCACTTTAATCACTGCATATCCAGGACTCCTTCTGAGAACAGTATCTAGGTTTTAAATAGGGACCAATTTAAAGCACTTGAAGTCATGATAAGATGGCAAAAGTGTGTGCTCCAGGTGAGAACAGAAAAGGACATTAGACTGTCTATACCTCATTTGGAGTTCTGGTGTGGCACTGTGGGGATACTGCACTGGACCGGAAAGTCTGTTTGAACTGCAAGATTGGCAGTTCAAATTCACCAGCTGCTCCTAAGTAACCTTATACAGGGTCACTATGAGTAAGAACTGACTTGTCAGCTCTTAACAACAACATACCTCATTTTACAGTTATGGCAAGAGATGAGACCCATTGACATAACATGCTTTATCCAATGTCACATAGTTAATCAGGGCTAGAATATACATGCTCTTGTTTGAAGGCCAAGAACTTTTGTATTAGATCTAAAGGGTAGTCCTGGTGTGGCACTGTGGGTTAGTGCGCTTGACTGAAAGGTCGGTTTGAACGTCAAGGTTGGTGGTTCAAGTTCAACAGCCACTCCTCGGAAACCCTATACAAGGGCACTATGGGTCAGAACTAACTCGATGTCACTTAACAACAACAAAGGGTAGGCATACCACTCCATGGTAGAAAGATGTAGCTATCTTCTTCAATAAAGATTTAGAGCCATGGAAACCCTATGGGGCAGTTCTGCTCTACCCCATCATTTTATTATGAGTCAGAATCTATTGATGGCAGCGGGCTTGATTTTTGGTTTAAGGCCTACCTGACTGGAAAGTGTTGACTCTTGGATTATTAATCAAGAGGTTGGAAATTCTAATCCACCAGCTGTTCCTCAGGAAAAAGATGAGGCAATCTGTTTCCATAAAGATTTACAGCCTCGAAAATTCTATGAAATAGTTTTACTCTGTTCTATGGGTTGGAATTGACACAACAGCAGTGTGACTGGATGAATAGCAACTCGGACAGTGCAGAGCAGGCCTTTCTAACTTTGCAAACATTCATGGACTCTAACCAAAGGGTATATCTCCAAGGACTCAATTTACAGTCCCTCTGTTACCTCTAAAGACCTCTCATCACCTGTACCCCTGCCCTCCATTCTATACACAAACACACACACATGCACATGTGTTTATCTCTCTACCAGGACCAGCCCTGAACAAAAAGGTGAAATTGAACCAACTCACACAAGAAAACTACTCACCCCTCACACAAGAAATTAACACACAAGAAAATAATACCATTTCTTGAATTATTTTAGCTTCCCCAGTGGCTGCCCATCATTGTGATCCTAAGAGTCAAATTGTTACAGACTCAGAGTCAATTCATAGTACATCAGAACAAAACTCTGCCCAGTCCTGCATCATCCTCACAACCTTAAACACTACTTAAGTCCATTGCTTCAGTCACAGCGTCAATCTATCTGTAAATATTACAGTCTTGGAAACCCAACGGGGCATTTTTATTCTGTCATATAGGTCACCATGGGTTGGAATAGACTTCAGCAGTAATGGGTGTGGGTTTTGTTCTGTTTTTGTTTTTTAAGTGCCATTCTCTTAGAGACATGTTCCCAGATTTTAAGGAAATAAATTAATTGGTGTTTCAGAATGTCTTCCTGAAAGACTTTGTGTGATTGTCTCTGAGTCAATCCTCCATTGTTCCTGTCTGGACTTCCCAACAGTCTCCTATTAAGACTCTATCTTTCGGACTGTTACTTTCCTACATTTCTACGAACTGCTATTTGATACATTCAAAAGATACCATGCAACATTAGAAAGAATGAGCTAGAACCACTGCACTAACATGGTAAATTGTCCTTTTAAGTGAAAAGTTCAAGTTATGGAAAAGTGTGCAGAGAATGCTCCAGTTGTGCGAACTAAAATCTGTATAAGTATAGCAAATGCCCCAAACTATGTACCTAATATGGTAGTCACTGGTTACAAATGGCTATTTAAATTTAAATGAATTAAAATGAAGTAAAGCTTATAACTCAGTTGCATCTCAAGTGCTCAATAACCACCTGTGGATTGTGACTATTACATTAGTGTTGATACAACACATTTCCATCATCATCATAGAAAGTTCTATTGCACAGAGCTGTTCCAAAAAGGATATCCATCAAACAGTCAAAAGCAGTTATTTTTCTGAATGAATTTGGGTTAGTTAATGAGACAGCAAGAGGGTCACATTTTATTACTTTATACACTTCCATACAATTTTAGGAGTCCTGGTGTGGTGCCATAGGATAAGCACTGGACTGCTAGCTGCAAGATTGGCAGTTCAAACCCACCAGTAATGCCTTAGAAACCTATGTTGTTGTTGTTAAGTGCTGTCAAGTCAGTTCTAAGTCATAGCGATCCTATAGAGTATAAGGTTTCCAAGGAACAGCTGGTGGGTTTGAACTGCTGACCTTGTGGTTCGCAGTCCAGTGCTGATCCTACAGTACCCCACCAGTAATTCTCAACAACCTATACAGGGTCAAGATAAGTGGGAACTGACTCAATCACTCAATTGTAATTTTTATAATGAGAATATACATTTTATAGTTGCTTTAGGGAGTACACACAGCACAACATACATACACTATTTAATAGTTTCTACATGTACAATTCAGTGACATTAATTACACCTTTTGAGTTGTACAGCCATCTCACACTTCTTTTCTGAGTTGTATCTCCCCCATTAACAAACTCACTTCCCCCTAAGGTTCCTAGCTAATCTTCTGCATTATTGTTGTCAATTTGATCCCATAAAGATTGATCCTAAAAGAGCATAATGCTCAAGGTAGACATTGCTTACTATTGTGTGAACTTAAGAAGACTTCAGGGAATGTTTTTAATTTAAGGTTTAATGATTATATACATGGGGCAGTAATATATGGTGTTCACCCAATCTCCATGACTCCAGAAATGTTGGATTCCATGAGAATTTGAAATCCTAATCTACAGCCCCTCTCGCTCAGGATTCTCCTATACAATCTTTGATTCTCTATACAAATATTCATTAGTGGTAGCCAGACATTATTCCAGTTCTGGTCTCATAGAGGAGGCTGTTGTTCATGGAAGCAATTAGCCATACATGCCATATCCTCCTCCTATTCCTGACTCTCCTTCTTCATCTTTTGCTCAAGGCAAATAGAGACCAATTGCTGGCCCCTGGAGGGCCACTTGCAAGATATTAAGGCCACAGGCACTACACAATGAACTAGGAGGTAGAGCAAAAGCAATAAACATAGTATTGGGTCAGTTACCTGGGATGTCCCATGAAACCATGACCCTAAACTTCCAAATCAAGGAGCCAAATCCCATGAGGTATTTGTATATAGGCAGCCTCATCAGTTACTCTTTAATTTTTATTGTTATTGTAAATTAATCTATCACACAACTTTTGCCAATTCAGGTTTTTACAAGTGTAGAACTTATTGGCAGCAATTGCATTAATCAACAATACAGTCGTACAGTTAATCGATATGATTTTTTTCATCACTTTCAACCAAATATCAATACTCCATAAACAATACTCCCCTTTCTCATTTCCTCCTGCTCTGGTAACCAATAATAAACTTTAGTCTCTATACTTTTGCCTGTTCTTTTGTGATGAACTTATCTCATTCCATATAATGTTTTCATATAATGAGAATATATTAGTTATATAATTTACAAAGAGTCCTGGTGTGGTGCTATAGGATAAGCACTGGACCACAAGGGCAGTTTGAACTGCAAGGTAGTGATTCAAACTCACCAGCTACTCCTCAGAAACCCTATATAGGGTAACTGTGAGTCAGACCCGACTCGATGGCACGTAACAAAAATTTTAAAAGAAAAAAATTAAAACTGGTTAAGCATTAAAATGTTCTGCTATGTATTAATTTCCAGAGACTGTAGGTTGAATAAAATTTCCAGTCAGTGAGCATTAGAATGATATTGCATCTTAATTTTCCAAATAGTCTTAGATGAGTCATCCCTTCTACATCCTGGCTACCTACAGAATCCACTAGAAACATTTGGTGGAAAAGCTGTGCATGAAGTAATGTGTTACTTAATGGAGAACACAAAAGAGGCAGGAGTAACTATATCTGCCATCAAGTAATTTAAAATCCTATCTGGAGACCAGATATGTATATCAACCAATAGAGATTAAAGTAATTGAATGGAACACCAATGAGAGAAACACATGTTGTTATGTGCTTGATACTGATCTAAGCATGTTGTAATATCTAATTTAATCTCCACTACAATCCTGCAGGACAGGTATTTCAAATCCCATTTCACAGATAGTGAAGTGGGTACAGAGGAAAGAAGTCACAAAACCCGTGTCATATGGCAGATGTACACAGGAGTTGGAATTTGCTGCTTTGTCCTATGAGCACAAAACTGAGGTTATCTGGAAAAATAAGTATGTAATGGGGAGTGTAGAATGAAAAGACCTGAACAGAGAGATCAAGCTGGTGATAATAAGGAAATAACTGTTATGTTTTCCTCTTCTAGGCAAAGCAGACAATGTCCAGTCAACTGCAGACCATGTCCAGACAACTGTGGAAGCAAAAAGCCTTACTATCTATGCCCAAGTCCAGAACTCAGGTGTAAGTCCTACCGCATTCTTTGTCTGGAATAGACCTGTCATGTTCCCTATAGGATTCCTGGCCAGTTCTCCTCACATATCTGTCATCCATGGTTCTACATGGGTTCTGAAGACAAAGGGGAACTGAAATCTAGAACAAGAATTTTCCAAAAGATCAATTCAACGTCAGATGGGACTATTTATTATTTGAAATCATGGGAAACACTAGGTAATCTTTTGGTCATCTCTTTCTTCATGGGGAAAAAAATGAGGAAGCTAGAGGCACATGATGTATGACTCCTTCCATCTTTGGCATGCTTGAAGTCTATGATTTATGGTTTCATGCTACCAAACTCTCTTTTCTCTAGGGGACAAAAAGGCACAGGCTTAAGGAAACCAGGGACAGTTTGGAAAGAATGATGTGGTAGTTCTGAACCCAGTTTAGTGGATTGCAAGGTGTTAAAGGGACACGGAAATGGGTTCTTGAGAATTCTAGCTAGAAAGTGACTGAAGAGATGATATGTAGGCTGGAGATGGAAGAAAGAAAAACAGCAATGGAATGATTGTTGGCTGAATGAAACAGAAGAGAAGACTGCAAAAGCTGGAGGCATGATAAAGTTGAGCAGATATGCTAGAAGTAAGAGAAAGGGAGGTTAAAAATCGTGTTTAAATATAGGGATATTGTATTTTTCAGATATGAAACAATTCTAGATAATATGTAGTCTAGAATCTGGTCATTCTGAATAAGGAAGGAGGCAAATTCTCAAGTAAAGGATGTAAAGGTGAAGCCAGTTTAATTGATACCTTGGAAAATCTCCTCCAATAATAATAAATACACTTCTGATAGCCAGAAGATGGGTCTCAGACAGCCCCCTTCTTTCTGCTGCCTCCTAGTGGCCTGGAGGGTTTATTACACAGCCTATAGTGGTGTAGAATAGGCACCCAACTGATAACCACAAGGTCGGTGGTTCAAACCCGCTAGCCGCTCTTTGGAAACCTATGCACAGTTGCTATGAGTTGGTTCTGACTCAATGGCACATAACAACAAACAACATAGTCCCAACTGAGAACCAAGCTTAATTTAAATATATGAGAGAACCTGGAGCACACCCCTCCCACTTGGGTTCATTTACTCATTTAGATAAGAGAGTTAGTCTTTACCATGATGTCTTCCCTGTCTACTCTATCCCATGCTGTTAGCA